AAAAAAAAAAAAAAAAAAAAAAAAAAACGCCAACTAAAGACCTATATGCTGACAACTGAGAGCATTGTTCAATGATCAGAAAAAAATGTTTAGAATTTCATTCAAATTTCAAGTGCATGGATCACCTTGCCTTCTGATAGGCAAAATTACTGTAAAAATGCCACTATATTACACATACAGTAGACCTCCCATATATCATGTTCTAATTGACACTGGCAATTTTTGTGCCAAGTTGGTTATGTGAATCTACTGTTCCTTGTCAGACGGGACTGGGGCATCTGGGATTAAGTACACTATGGTAGTGGTAATGGTAGTGTCCAGTTAAAGAGAGATGTATAATATGTGAAGTCTACTGTATATGTAAGCTGGAAGAAGAACAAATGTACAAGTGTACAGTCATTATCATGGTATCTATACATTTATCCTTATCTAAATCACTTCACTCTCTCCACAAGAATATTATTAACTTCTACTCCAGCTTGCAGTGTATGACATTTCAATGATATTTCCAGTGTGTTTAGTCTAAGCTGAAGCACCTGTTGACAAGCAACCTTGACTTGTGCGAGAAAGAGGCCATCTTTACAAAGGGATATTTCCGTGTTTCTTCCAGGGGTTTTCTTGCTTCTTGCTCTGTAGGAGCGCCAGGTCCTGGTTGATGCGTTTCCTAGTGGTGTGAGGCATGATGATGTCATCAACATAGCCTGGAAGCAAAAACCAGAATTATACTTTCAAATATACGAGATGGGACAGGTAAAGATGTAATTAAGACACTACAGGGAGAAGAGGGGAAGGGGGGAGGGGGATAGCTTTTCAAAAGGGCCATCTAAATGGTTCCTGGATTGCTTGCTTGCTAAAGCCTAGGATACAGAGAACATAATAAAGGATGGATATTGTCATGGCTAAATCATTTCAAAATTGCAATAAGTGAAAATAAATTTATTGTCAAATAATATAAAATGAACAATGTCATGGTTAAAAAATGACTATAAAATCTGTGATTAATTTTTTAATAACTTGATTGATAAATATGACTTGTATTATATAGTGAAATGGGTTATGAGATATTTCATGATGTGATATTCATGCAATGAAAAATCAGATGAATTTTAAATTAATGATATGCTGAGAAATGCCACAGGTATAAGTAACATGAGTTGGCACTTCAAAAAAGAAGAAAAATATTAATAAAAAATATTTCAACAAATAAACAATTATTACCTCTGACAGCAGCTGGGAAAGGATTTGAGAATGACTCCACATATTCCTTCTCCGCCGCTGATCTTTTCTGTTCATCACGGAAAATAATCTGCACTGCTCCCTGAAATGTAAAAATAGTACACCATTCTTTAAGATCCAAAATTGTTATTATTTCACTTCTTCCTGCATTAATTATTTTTTGGCTGAAATTTAGGTGACTGACACTCATGCAATTTAATCTGTTTGCAGACTGGCAATGTTGATTTGGCATTAGACGGTTGTTCCAGATCTGATAATGTTGCTGTCTCCTTGCAAAGACCTCTACTGGTCACTGACGGTTTACGAATGCAAAAAACCATCTCAGTAACTAGAGCAATCATCTATTCACAGATACTTAAAGTCCAAAGACAGATTTTTAAAACTTTGAGTATAAACTAGTTTTAACAACTAGATGCCTAATGATCATCATAAACTCCTCAAACAATCCACTGTAGTTACCTGTGCTCCCATTACTGCCACTTCAGCTGTGGGCCAGGTATAGTTTGTATCACCACGGAGATGCTTTGAGCTCATGACACAATAGGCTCCACCATATGCCTACCACGAATGATAAAAAGGAGTTATTATTGTGAATTGATTGTTGGATTTATGACAAAAATTTATCAGCTAATCAATGGAACCATTTCATTTGGATTATTGTGATATGCTAACAACAGGAAAAATGATGAAATAATTCTTATTATTTGGACATTGTAAATTTTACAGAAAGAAAACAAAAACAAAATAATCTTACATGCTGCATGTTAAATTATTCTACATTGAAGCTCATACTAATAGTCAAACAACTATAATAGAACAATATTAATTTTATAAGTAAATATATATATATTAATTCAAGTTTTACCTTTCTTGTGATGACAGTGATTTTTGGAACTGTAGCCTCAGCGTAGGCGTAGATGAACTTGGCTCCATGACGGATAATACCTCCATACTCTTGATTAGTACCTTTAAAAAAAATACCTAATGTTAATCTATCAGTATCAAACTTAATGTTTCACATTATACTTTATTATGAAATGCCTATATTGGTAGTTTGATGCATTATTTGAAAAAGGTATTTTTTCTTTCAAAAACTTCACACTGTTAAGCAACTGTTTAAGCGTCAGAAACAAATTTATAAACAATTCAACCACATGCCATACAACAGCCACAGTTTTAATGATGTTTCAACATAGCAACTTAGCAAAGGGATGCTTTAAAGAATTCTTTTCCATGTACATAAAAATAAGTTTTTCATTGTCTCTATTCTGATGATAAAAACACATCCTTTAGATAGAAAATGTTTTAAAAATTAGCCTTATTAGGAACAACTTTTTAAATTATTTGTAAATACTGTGGTGTATTCCATTGTGTCATCTTCACAAACCTGGCAGGAATCCTGGGACGTCCACAAATGTGATGAGAGGAATATTGAATGCGTCACAGAACCTCACAAACCTGGCTCCTTTCACTGAAGAGTTGATGTCAAGACAACCTAGGGCACAAATAAAACAGTTATTAGCAGCACACACAGAAATAATATGCATATAGGCTATGACTAGGTGGACCTGCATTTATAGTTTCCTGAGTTTTCCATCATCATATCTAACAAGTAAAACTTACAGCAATATCATAACTAACACAATGTGACATATCGATATGTGTTTCTACTCAATAAAAAACACTTGGAAAAAATAAAATGTCTGTATTGTACAGTGCAGTACAAGTTATATGTTTTTATGCTCTGTATAAAGCATTAAAGTAGCAGTGGAGGGCAAAGTAAACAAACACAGTGATATGCGTACCTGCAGCAACTTTGGGGTTATTACCCACAATGCCTACTGTTCTTCCTGCCATACGTGCAAAGCCAACTATGATGTTCTTAGCAAAGTTTGGCATGATCTCAAAGAAGTCTCTCTCATCAACAACCTTGGGAAGAATAAAATTGCAAGTTTTGAAAACGTGACTGAATCAGATTTAGGCATGAAAATAAAACAATTAAGTTAAATTTGGTCCATATTTTGAATTTATGATGTAACAAGGTGAAGGAAGAGAGAGAGTAAACAATTTTTGATGATTTCATATTTCATTACCCACTGCAATGATAGTACTGTCTTAATTTTCTATCAACGTTTCAATGATAGAAGCTCTACAAACATCAAAGACATCAGTCCAGCATGAGAACTCGAATTAATTAATTCATTAATAAAATTTAAAATCAATTCACATATTTTAATGAATACATAGATAAATACATATATAAATGCATGAATATAACATCCATATATAAGAGGTACTTTATTCTGTCTACTACCCCATAGATAACATCATGCATGTCATAGGCCGCAGTACTCTCCAGTGGTACTACAGTTTCCAGTCCTGGGACATCTCTGTCCCTGAATTAAATAGATATAATATAACATATATTAGACCACTATCTTCTCAATACCACATGTATATGAGATATTCAATGGAAATTGTTTTTTCTATGCATTTTGTTAAGAAACTTTAATAGAAAATTTACATAAATCATGAATTTACAATGGTTAGAAGCTTTTCATGAAGGGCACCATATGACTTAATAAAACATATATATATAAAACAATTTTCGATCGCCTCATCTTTCTATTTCTCAGCAGAGGCAATTTCAATTGTTTAAATGCTTCACAAACAGTTCCAGATCTGTCAAACCATGTGACCTTGTTACACTAAGTTCCAGATTTGTCAAACCATGTGACCTTGTTACACACAGTTCCAAACCTCTTATGTTAGACCTATCATTACACATATGCAATCATCTCGTGAAAAATATTTCTGTGACTCTGACTGACAACCATGTAATCTTACCATGGATCATCGTAATCTCTCATAGGAGATGGATCTTTGTTACTTAGAGGAAGGAAATTGAACAGCTCTCTCAGTTTCTCAAGGGCTTCCACATCATTGGCAAAAGCTCCATGTGCCACTCCTGAAACAACATTTGAGATGATCATGTTTTTTTGGTATTTTCCACCAATAAGATTAAATATTACATAGGTATATAAAATGGTACAACAAAGGCATTTACATTAAAGATACCTCTTTGGAAAATTGACTGAAAAAGTGACAGTGTGTTCTTGTATACACTATTCTTTATGACAAAGATATTTCACTCTTTGTGCTGACATGGGTCTTCAATTATATTTCGATATATTATACTCATTAAAAAGGTCAAACTTAAAATTTTGCAACCTCAATATTTTCTTACCTGAAACAGATGTGTGAGTTTTAGCTCCTCCAAGCTCTTCTTGTGTCACATCCTCATTTGTAACAGCCTAGAAAACACAATAAAAACATAAAACAAATAAGTTATTTAATCAGTGCAATGTTTGCAAGCACAATAGTCACACCTTTAACAGCATTACTAAAATATCAGAGAACATAACTGTCACGATATCCGAGGACACAACTGTCATATTTGCAACCAGCAGAACCAAATTTCTGACATTTTTGGATAATCCCTGGAATTAAAAAAAAAATTGACGAGTAATATCCTAGAATATCAACCTATATGGCTTTATTTGGAAAATACAACATTACCATCTCTTCCAGAAAATATAACAGAAGTTGAGGTACTACTTAGAGAAAAACAAATCAATGAAGGAAATTCAAGCAAAGAGCGAGAAAAAAAAATGGATAATATGACACAGTCTCAACACCTTATAAAACATGAGAAACTAAAACAGATCAATGAGAATCAGATCAGCTACAAAAAGATAGCACTTATGAGGCACGGCTAGCAGTAGAACAACAGTGATCAATATCCAACAAAAACAGTTTAATTTTCTCAAGAGGGCAGTTGCAGAAGAAAAAACAGACAACCCCTGAAAACTGATCCTATCGATTTTTGTGTCCGTGCACACCAGATCTGTGTAAGCTATACTCTGGGAGTTAGGAACCCACTGTATTTAAACTGTAAATAAGAATGCACAAAGAAAGGATGTTGCATGTAAAAGCAGGGGCGGATCCAGAGCTATATACTGACAGTCTTCCAAATTATCTTTGTTGATTCATCCTCCAATTTTGACCGTCTTCCAACATTAAAAATTGGATACCCGTCGATGTAAACTTGAAAATCTGACCGTCTTCTGGAAGACCCAGAAGACGGCCTAAATCCGCCCCTGTAAAAGCACACATGTTAGAGTAGCAGCAGCCTATGCACCGGTGATAAAAGATACATGTATATGATATAATGAAATCCAATGGGAAGATACATGTATGAAGCCATGGACATTCCTTTAAATTCTTGCAGAAAATGCTGATAGCAGAGAGTTGAGAGTAATCGCTGAAACTCAGTGTGGTGAAAAGAGCTAGCTGAGACAAATGATCTGAGAAAAAAGTAATTAAAATCACCCTTGCAACCTGTGCCTGTAAGCTGTAAATTCACTGTTAGCAGAGACCAAAATGAATTATACAGATGAGGTGCTTTAAAAGAAGGAAAAAAAGCCCTTTAACTCATCCATCAGATAGACAAGGTTAATCAACCAGGATGTGAGGTATCTCTGTGTGCAAAGAATGGTAGAAATACCCTGAGACTCCACAGGGACTAGGACATCTAACTCACTGAATAATAAATCTGGTGGTCTGTTGAAGCCTCTTCAGTTCATTTCCATTTTGAATCGTCCCCTGAAGCTTACGTCTGATGAGACTCATTCATTAAATAACCAAGGCCGTGCATCATAATTTCACTATTTCTACTAGAAATTAACATCTGTATCATAAACCATCTTAATTTCCCCAGAGCACAGCTTTCCACTACCACACTGCTAACAGGATTGATGTTCATAGAGAAATCTCCCAGTGGTGGACTCTAAATGGTGTTCACTGATAACCAACAAACCAGGCTGCAAATAACCATAGGTGTTGAAATTTCAAGCACTCATATCAATATTAACAAGCATAAAGTCCAATGCAAATAGAACCTTATACAGAAATCACTCATTTGCTAAGAAAAAAAAAGAAGACAATTTAGTCTGCTACCTACAGTCCTCTGAACTGCACCACTGGTAAAAAATACTTTATTTGCTACAATTATTCTCATTTTCATGGACCAGAATAAAAAGTGGAAGATATTCTTTCTTCTGATTTTTATGAACTCCATGGACCTCAGCACACATTTAAAAAATTCAACAGCAATTCAACCTGACATTTTTGGCTTTTAATTCTGAGCCGTGTGCAATAAAATTATGCAGTTCTATATGCTCCAGTAGATCAAATATGAACAGACTCTGAGTAACACTATCAATAATGTGTCTGTCTCAATCTTTGTTTATGCTCCCTACACAACATTATAAAATTTTGGAGTGGCCTTCATTAAAATAATGATAATAATATTAA